TGTGTTTGGAAATTATGTATGGGAAGGGAATTACGTATGGGAAGTAAGCTTAACCCAGGAATATGAAGTGGATGCAGCGTGATAAAATGCATGCCATCTGTTCCATTATAGAAGAAAGAAACAAGATCGTAGGGTCATATCCTTTGATGCAGAAATAACTGTCTCATTCTAAAGGAGAACACGGCAGCCGATAGACACAAGCCGCAGTCCCATTAATTGATAGGGCTGTTTTTTCAGTCAGCCCTGCCAAATGCAAAGGGTTTTACATACACTGAGTAAAATTACATTTCCAAAGCAACCTTTTGAGGTGGATATCAGCTCTATTATTGTGGTTTTTAATCTGTAGACAAAAGTTTGGATGAATTTTTTTATCCTTACAAAAGTGTTCTCTAACCTTTTAGTCATTTAGATACTTTTATAGAATCAAGGGCAATTATGTTACCATTATTCTTGAATTTCACGACTATACAATTATACACTTGGGACAGAAAACTATACCTTAAAGAAAAGAATAAATGAAAGAGTGAAGTTTGAGTTCACTTTTCTGTGTCATTTTTGGAGACTTTCTGGAAGGACAGGCCAGCCATTAGGCCAGTAATCGTGTCTATTCTGGCCGTTTCATCTGGCCATGCATACAAGTTCAAGTTCAATTTTTGGCACACTTGAAAACACGGTAACTTTATGCATGTTTCTAGTAAAATATCCCCTTTCTTTTTTTTTTTCTTTTTTGAGTCGGAGTCTCACTCTGTCACCCAGGCTGGAGTGCAGTGGTGCTGTAGCAGGACAAGCCGTAGACAAAACTCCTCAGACACCGAATTAAAGAAGGAAGAGGTTTTTTATTCGGCCGGGAGCGTCGGCAGACTCACATCTTAAGAACTGAGCTCCCCGAAAAAGAAATACTTGGCCTTTTTAAAGGCTTACAACTTTAAGGGGTCCACGTGAAAGGGTCGTGATAAATCGAGCAAGCGTGGGAAACGTGACTGGGGCCTACATGCATCAGCTAACAGAACAGAAAGTTTTACAATGCTTTTTTCATACAGGGTCTGGAATTTACAGATAACACAAGTAGTTTAGGCCAGGGGTTGATGTTATTATTATTACTTTGTTTAACTCCTAGGTCCGGGTGGTGGTGCCAAGGTTGTCTGGCTACTTATCTTACTTTTGTTTCTTTCTCTCTTTCCTCCTGTCTTGTGAACTAGGCAAGGTAGGGGGAGGAGGCAGCAGAAGTAGTAGTGGTCTCCTTCCTTAGTGCGACCTTAGCTCACTGCAACCTCCACCTCCCAGGTTCAAGTGATTCTTGTGCCTCAGCCTCCTAAGTAGTAGCTGGGATTACAGGCCTGTGCCACCACGCCCGGCTCATTTTTGCATTGTTTTTGTAGAGACAGGGTTTCACCATATTAGCCAGGCTGGTCTCAAACTCCTTGCCTGAAGTGATCCACCCACCTTGGCCTCCCAAGGTGCTGGGATTACAGGAGTGGGCCACTGTGCCCAGCCAGTTTCTCCTTTCTTAATTAAAACCCAGAACCTCCTAATTTAGCTCTTACAATATACCCTGCTGGTGGTCAAGGGCAGCTGGGGA